AGACGCTTCCCGTAGACGAGGTAGACGCTTCCCGTAGACGAGGTAGACGCTTCCCGTAGGCGAGGTAAACGCTTCCCGTAGACGAGGTAGACGCTTCCCGTAGACGAGCAGACGAAACAGAAGTTTCTCGTAGGCGAGGCAAACGCTTCTCGCACACGAGACAAACACTTCTCGCAGACGAGGCAGACGCTTCCCGCAGACGAAACAGAAGTTTTTCGTAGGCGAGGTAGCCCGTGTTGAGCATTTCTTACTGTGCATCTCAGCATATCCTAAGTAGTCTCAAGAGGATGCAACGATATTCAGATCACCTCCTACGAGTAGTGGAGGTCGTCAGGAAGGCTTCCAAGCCGCGAAGGGAAAGTGCGGTTGGAGAACGCAGAAAGAAGGATTGCAGAGAGTCATTGGAGCCTGTATAGAAACAAAACTTTTATTCATGTATAAGCAGAATCTGCCCTGCGTAGTAGTAACGTGTGATGTGGCCGCTAGTTGTAGCAGCGATCGCTTGCGACGCACTCACCAATTCGTTCTCATCCTCCATCGTATCCACGTCTCACCGCTCGTTGCCGACTCAACCATCCGAGGAAGCATACGCATCCGTCCTATTTCCGCATTCTGCTCAGCAACCACATCTTGAAAATGCCATCACCATGCCACTCAATGTTCCCCGCGCGCTTCGCGAGAGCCAAAATGTCCAACATTCCCGGTATCTTGTCTAATATGTTGAGGTTGGACATCCAAGGGTACTCGGGATGCTTCCGACACTCTGCAAGGAACTGGTCTTGATCGTGTGGCAGGTGGAGCACTAATTGCTTCGGGGCGAGGTCGTCGAGTTGTGTGACAAGTCGAGCGAGGTCTCTGGCCAATGATGAGCTGAATGGGTCGGAACAGAACACGGCAACGTGAAGGTGGCGGATGTGTTGTTTAGCTTCCTTGCTCTTGTCGTCGTCCGAGCGCATTGCCAATTCAAGAGCACGTAGGCTGTTGAAGCAGAACGTGTTCTTCTCATAGAAAACGGGCAAAGCCTCGGAGTACAGCTGCTTCGAGACGCGCAGGATACAGAGCATATCGCTCATCACTGGAAGAATCAGGGTCTGTCGTTTTATCGTTCCCGTGCGCTCAACTGTGAGATTTTCTGGAGCAAGACCAGTGAACTCATACATTAGTCTCTGCTCGCCCGTCACGATCGGAAATCGCCACTTGAACCCCTCGTCTGGATACACTAGTAGCATTTTGCAGATCTTCTCGCGCAATTCAGCCGAGAGCCCGGGGAAATCGAATGTTCCTTGACGTGCAGGCTCCAGATACTGACGCAGATGTACTCGAGCGGCTGGGAGGGAGACTTTGAGCCTCGTGTTGAGCTCTTCTACCGGATCGGAGTGCTCGCAAGGGAGGTCGAAGCTGCGGATGGCAAGGAAGAAGTCGGGAATGGTCCACTTCAATGACGAGCCACGGCGGTGGTGCGCGAGGTCTACTTGGAAATTCGCGTAGTTCTCGTGAACTTCGTCACCATAGTGTTGGAAGGTTCGATAGATCCAGGCAAGGACTTGACTACGATCAGGCTCTTCCTCCTCTATCATAACCAGAGCGAGTACGATCAGCTCCTCGGTCGTGAATGGAGGACACTCGCGAGTTTCCGACCAGGGCTTGATCACCGCCGCCACTTCGTCGCGCAGGCAAAGAGGCTCTTGTGTGGGCACGAACTTGAGTTTCGCAGTGAGCTGATTGGCAGCACCGCTGTTGGGGACTTCTGTCGACATTTTGGCTGACTTCGAAGGCGATGTTGAAGAGAGTTGTCATCGCGAGGAGGATGTTGTTCTCGAGTAAGCGGTGGCAGGTGCAGAGACGAGAAATGCGCAGGCGAACAGCGCTGTGGTGGGGTTGTGGAAGTTGTTTCAGGAATGTGGGATTCAACACCAGAAGGAGCCGCCAGAATAAGCTTTAGGCTTCTATTCATGTGACGTTCCGCTTCCGTGTGAAAGTGAATACAGGGAACAACGTCACAATACTCGGTACACGGCAGCTGAAGATGGGGCCTCCAGCAGTGAGCCTCAAACCGCCGAACGAGCCGAACAGTATGACTTTGAAAGGAAATTTGCTCAGCGCTTCAGAACAATGTGAGTGCCTTGAGCTAATTGGCTGTTGCCTGTTTCAATCCCCCCACGACGGCCTCTCACACCTATACATCCACATCACCTCAATAGGACCTCACTTGATCGCTTTCTTCCTCAAGCCCTCGCTTCTCTCCTGAAACATGCGCGGAGCTGACATGTTGCCGCCGGAGCGAATCCGAGCTCCCCCAAGCTCCGACTTCACGTACTATGCCGCGTTTTTCGCCCAACTCCAAGTCCAAGTCTGGAGAGCATCATCCATCTGAACGATTCCACCATACGATGAACAGAGCCGGTGAGGATATGTCGCTATATGTCCAAGGATGGCGACGCACATGATGATTGATCACGCTGGTATTGCCCCAGATTCAGCCCGCCTGTTCGAGCTCACTCTCGACGGCGTGCTGCCCTTCCAATCTGCCTCTAGATGGCCTCAGACAGAACCTTGACAGCCTTCTCATCTAGGCCTATGGCTGGGCTTTCCTCGCCTATCCGTCTTTGGAAGGTGGTCGCGAGGCCTCAAAGCTCACAGAGACCGAGCGGATGCTGACACCTAGAGGCTCCCTTCACCAAGCGAAGCAGCTACCAAGATCCGAACGAGCATGTCGACGAGAACAGAGTCATCGACCTGACAGAGAAGTGCCAAGCACGATGCTGACGTACCTGAGGCTCCCACTGTCAGCTGATGATCGTTCTGTCAATCGGAGTGGGCACGCCAGACGATCAAACTATGGCATCCGAACGCATCGGGGCTGCGGAGATAACAGCGGGGGCGGTATACATTGTAGACACAGAGGCCATCGTGGACAGGGACCCATTCGAAACGACGCCACTTTACCGTGAGCTGGGGACGGACGGCAATCACTACCAGGACCGGCAGCACGCCTGCCGACTGATAGTGCATGAGAGCCATTCACCCCTCACAACTGATCAGATCAGGGTGTCAGCATGTCCGACGCCAATGCAGGGGCCACACTGAGCGAGACTGACCATCAGAAGGTGCTTATATGGCCATGACGCACCGATGATCAGGAAATGCAAGCCCACAACGGTAAGAGCGAAAAAGGATTTGAGCGATCTGAGGGAGTGCCAGCCTGATGAACAGCAGCGGGTAGCTTGGAGATGCTACCTTCGTTGGACTATCTGATCAGAAGCATCACCAGCTTGCACAGTAGCTCCCAGCAATTGTTTTGCACTGTAGCTACCTTGGTTTGCGGGTGCTCGAGTGAAGATGTTACGTATGGCGAGGGCAACAGGACGTCGTTCGGAAAATGAGCGTTTCTGCGGCTGCGCCTGATACTTCAGCTGTTTTCCCTCATGCACTATCTCGGGCGGCCTGAGCAAACTTGATCGATGCGACCTCGCGGATGGCATGTGGTACCATGGTCCAGCGCCTGGTCCTGTCTGAGTCGTGCTGACATGGTGAACAGACGTGTAGTGTTTCGAGAGTTTGCAAAGGGATCCGCAAAGACTGCGTGCCCAATCATTTCGCGCCAACTGTGCGTGCTCCGCCGAATCTTGCTGAAAGTCTGTACAAAATCTGATCCAGTGGCAGCCTCCAACGGACCTACGAGGGCGGCCTCGTGTAGAATAGTGTCTACTGGGGAGCTGCACACCAGCAATCGCATTTCCCGTCTGGCCTACAGGAACGGTCAGTGTAGCCGTGGCTTACGGAGCATAGTCATTTCTCTCTTACCTTGCAGATGCATCCCAATAGGGCCAAACGCACTAAGTCTATGTGTGAGTGATCCAAGTAGACAATGACAAGAGTTGTGGGAAGACATACCTCTTGGGGACATATGCTCTTGCAGCTATCGATGTCGGCTTGCGCACAATTCGACCATTTGTGGCCTCCGTTTCGCTCATCACGTCCGCAATGCAATCGAAGTTCTGCCGCATTAATAGCGGCTATGGTGACGAAAAGAGCGGTCCAGAAGGTGAATGAATGCATAATTGTCGATTGATAGCTGCAGGAAAACTAACAGCAAGGCAGAAGAGAACTTTCTGTAGTTGTAGATATAGTTTGTCGAGAGTTGCCAAGAAACTGCTCCTGAAACGAGTGTAAGCACTAGTCCACTCGACCCAGATATCCAGAGAGCTAGAATATATCGCATCGCACCGAAAACGATCCGTTGCCGGCAGGAATGGGCTGAAGATGATACGTGAGGTTGTACTGATGATTCTCTGACTACAACGAGGTCCACCTTGCTGAGCCGCGGTACGCGATGGCAAACTCTTGAGCGCCAAGTACCAAGCATGGTATCTCAAATGCGCAAAGCACCAGCAGGAAGCATCGAAATGGCAATGCGAAGAAGAGCAGCGAAGGATGCCCATTCATGTAACTGCTGGCGTCGTGTTCGATAGGTATCTTGCAGTGCCATGCTCGAAGAGTATACTTGTAGGAGCCGAACTATGCTCTAACAACGCCAGAACTTCGTGAGTATGCATCAGAAGGTGAACGAACTTGGCGAGGTAGGCGATGATAGCGAGCGCGACAGCAAGATCCCGTCGATGATGTGTCACGATCGACCAAGTAAGCCAATGTCGACAGGCCACACCGATGGCGTTTGAAACAACTGACAGTGTCAAAGATCATATCAGAGACGACGAAAGCATACATCTTCGGCTTGGCGACGGTGATCGAATCTGCTGACCGCCTAATTCTGCTGCTCCAACTGCTCCTGAAGGCGGCAAAATTCTTGTCGAACCGGTTCTACGTGTGTACGAAGCTCGTACTCCTGTTTTCGCAGCCCAACGGCAAGTGAGCGTGTTGGAGTTGTGCCTCTAACGTGGAGCCATCGGAGGCCATTGCGGAAATGTGATCGAGGGTCGCTGAGTGAGGTGGGATGTGAGCGGATCGGAAAGTGCTCTAGCAGACTTGCAGTTGTTCGTGATGGCCTATCGTGATTGTCTTGCGGAATGGGCGACCAACGTGTTTTGGCAGACGGAGTTGATGGAGATGGAAGTGGCGAGTGCTGGGAACTTGGCGTCTTCTTGCAGAGTCACACGAGCATGGCCGAGCACGCGTCCCGGAAGCTGTGCTGCAGGTCTTCGGGGAAGGGCAAAGGCCAACAAAGACCTGGTTCTGTCTGGGCTTGTCGCGGCTGCAGTTCACTTGCCGCGATAATGATCTCGACTGTGCGGTGAGCCTACTACTGTTTTCACACGAGTTTTTCGCATGCCGCAAGGGTCAACCGCCCCTCCTGACACAATCAGAGGTCAAAGGGCTCAGCTCTGATCCGATCTGTCAGATCTCACCCCACTGTCTGACTATGTACTCGAATCTCAGCGGAAGCGGAAGGACTATCCCATCGAAGTTTTGCCACGATCGTCCACGATACCAAACTTGGAGAGTGTGAATCGATGACTTTTCAAACGAGCGACGTTGCCCAAACCCCTAATCTTACCCCCACCAGAGACAACGAACCCATATGCGGATTCCTCCCTTCCTAAGCGACACGCCCAAAGATATGTCGCTTTCGACATGCATACCACCTCCGTCGATCGCCGTCGGTGAGGCGGATGGAACACCAGAAGCGCTCACATTGACAGGATTTTACTCAGAACGTGGATCCGGGCTCTCAAGCTCGTCAACGCAGCACTCTCACCGCCATCATGAGAGACTTCAAGGTTTCCGCTCTGGTCATCATCGTCAGCATCACTGTCAGTGCTCTGGCGAGCTCGATCTTTCACCTCATGACACATACTGTCACACCTCCACCGCCACGCGCCACGACGTCTCCGTCCCATGCGAGACCACAATTGAAGGACTAGTTCCCACCCGGGAACGAGTCTTTGGGGCCGTCTCACACGTTACCTGCCAGCCAGAATGCATCCACTTCGCCGACCGCCGAATTGTTACCACTGACCCAGCGACAACTTGACTCAACGGCCTTTTTCTTCTCGCGCGATTTGGTCGACCAGGTCAATCGTAACGACACATCCATCATCAAGAATGATACACCTCAACCCCATCGCGCCCTCTTCATTGACAAGCCAGGATCGGCACCTTCGTCACTTGGTCGGTCCTTCGGACGCCCGGAAGAGGAGGAGAGCACATCTGACTGGCATTGAGACTCTCTGCTTGGACAGCCATCCGGTGACTGATGATCACAGCAACGCACACCTGCAACGGCCGAGCAGACCTTCTTTGGGCAGGAATGCTGCAATGATAATGGAGACAGAGGCAATTGGGAGACGTAAAAGTATCCCAGAAAGTTCAGGACAAGTCGTTTGATGGTGATACTTTGAAATTGGTCTTTGGGAGGGCAGGATGCATTTGATCAAAAGAGAGCTGAAGCATTCTCGGGTCAGCAAAGAGCAGGACCCGACGCTGTTACCATTGGGCAAGGTTGGCACCTCTATCAGCTTGAAGCAGAAAATGGCTTCGTCGAGAATAGTCCTCATTGGACATCTTGTCATCGCGTGCTTCGATCGATAGACACTCTTCCCAACGATCGACGTCGTGGCCTCTTCTCACACAAGCAAAGCATATTCTGGGAGTCATCCAGGCGTTGATGTCACTGCCAAGTTTGATTATCTGTTGCATGACTGTGCTTGTGACAGGTAATGGCACACATTCGATGGTTGGTGCAATGGAGTAGTTCTGAATTGCTGTTCGAAGATGGCCGAGAGATCCGTGATGTGGGAAATGGCCCTCATCTCCTGGAACAATGTTGTCTTTTGAGAGATGATGAGAAATGACGATTGCGGCGTCCCACGGACAAAAGCAGCAGTCCTCATTCTTCGATGCAGACTTAACTGTCGACTCGTCTTCATCGTGGTACAAGGCACATCTTGCACCGCGCCCGAGGCGGTAGACCCCGATGCGGCAAAACTTATCTGTAGAAAGCAATTTTGTCGAAGACAAGATCGAATTCCACGTTGATGCAAGCTGGACAGAGAAGTCAGTAAAGCCAAAAGGTCTTCCCAGTGGATCTCGCCAAGCATGTAGTCAGCTTCTTCCTCTTTGCTTGGGTCCAGGCAAGGATGAAAACCTGCGACTTCGTCGAAAGATCTGGTCCGGGTCAAGCTGCGGTGGTAGAAATTGCGGCTTCTCGTGCATTGAGGTCAGCATATGCAGCACAGCTGCTCCATCGTGGTCCTTGCGCAGGTCAAGACTGAGAGTCAGTGCTCTCCAGACTTGTTCTGAGCCCAAGTCCTTGGGTCTGGTTGCCAGTAGTAGGGAGCGACAGGAGCCCGGAGAGAGCAAGAATGACCAGCGACTGACTATCACACTACCTGACTCTCGAGTACATGTTTCCCGTAGACTGTAGAAGTGCCACATGTCCTTAAGTACTTGATGTCCAACAATGCTCCGGGTTGGGTAGGCGTTCTTTGCATGAACAACACAGATATGAGTGTCCAACCAGGATCACTTGGCTCAACCGGCCCGAAGGTTGTTTCTATTCTTCCGGTTTACTTTCCAGGATTCTTATCGACGCTTAGCAGTCGAATGTGATGTGATCGTGGGTTGTCCTCGCAGACTTGACACACAGCGATGAGACTTGTGGAATATAAAGATAAATCCGTCGTGAACGATCCAGCGCGCTCTCATTAAAGCGATGTAGAAATTCGGAAGGCGAGTTCGGTAAAACACCTTCAGCCAAGTGAAGTCAGGCTAACAAGCTCTCCGTGTAGGTAGTGTCGCTTGTCTACCAGCTGACGATGCTCAATATCCGTTTGCATCTTCTTTCTCGTCTTCCTCTTCGTCTTGGTCATTATCTTCCTCCCCATCTCTACCGTCTTCATCGTCGTTTTCGTCATCGTATTCGCTCTGCTCATCTTCTCTTATCAGGTCACGCGCATCGGCAAGGGTAGCAGGAGTTGGAAGTGGAGCCCGGAAAGCTTGTTTATCGTTGCTCGGGTCGTGAGCATCGGAAGAAGAATCATGTTGCCCATCCTCGCTGGTGAACTTGGCGGTACTCTCGTCGGAGTCTGCTCGCAACTGGGTCGATAATGATAGAAAGGGATCTGAGGTTTGGGGAAAGTACTCGTCGCCACTTTGAGGCAAGGCTGCGAGAGAAGGGGCAGGATGTGCGCCTCCCTGGACGGGTCCGTCAATAGGTTCACTTTGCTTTTGACGCCGTTCGTAGCCTCGTGTGCCGAAAGGAAGCTCGTAGTCATTACTGCAATCAGGATCGTTGCAGAAGCGTAGGCAAATGCTCATAATCATGCCTCCGGTCGTGGCAGGACGACGTGTGCTATCTTTCTGGGGCAACCACCCTTATCATCCTCGCCCAGTCTTGCTCGCGTGATCGCTATAGCTGAACAAAGTCAGAACGATCGTCGGTGAGGGCAGACGTAGAGGCTGGGTGAAGGTTGTGGTAGACTTCCATCGTACTTCTTTACTGAAGATGCTTGGATATGGCTTCAGAAGTCTCTGTTGCCAATGGTCAGAGCTGCTGCGAGGTAATCTTGCTGTGCTGCAGAGCTGTACCGTCGACTCCGGTTATAAGCTCGTTAATGCGCGGGATCACGGCATTCTTCACATCGTATTGGTCAATGACCGCAGCCAAGCCCATGAGCTGGGAGGGGGTGAGAAGTGAGGGTAAGTAGTGTGGTTCATCATGTAGAAGTGCAAACATGTGCAGCAGTGCTTCGCCGTCGTGTTCTTGACGCAGGTTGAGGTTGAACAGATCGTTGCCGTCCTTGCATATTCTAGCGAAGTCAATGTCTTCGGCGAACGAGCCCACTGCAAGTGTCAGCTGCCTTTGGCCCGTAGATGGAATGAGGCAGGCTAATTGCTGTGAAGGCTATTAAACGGCGCGCTGCTCTGACAAAGCACTTTGCTGCGCACGCGTAAGATATGGATTGCCTTGGCCTGCATTTCGACGTCGCCGTCGGAGGCAATGAGCACTTGGATCGGTGCGGGCGCTGCCATGCTGTGGTCGCTGTAGATGAAGTGAAATGTACGTGGCGCTCGCTGCGAAGGAGAGTTGTGATGTGTGGTTGACGAATGAAGACGACGCGCAGTGGACAAGACGCCAATGCTGCAAGGCGGCAAACGGAGGTGAATGCGGCAATGCAACGGTTCCGCGGCACGTACTTTGCCTTCACTTTGAAGTGGAAGCGAGCGACGCACAGACCACCAGTCCACTGTCGACCGCCTTCACACTCGTCCTTCTGCGCTCAGGTGCACTACTCGATCACTCCCTCTGCCTCGTCACCATTCCTTGTCAGCTCCACGATTCGCACGACCTCTGCTGCCGCAAAACTACACGAAGTCTTTCTAACAACAGAAGGACGGCTACCGAAGTCCGCGTGAACGCTGAGTTTACAGAGATTGCTCACTGCCGTACGCAACGCTCGACTGCCACACCACCACTTTCTACACTCATCGCCAACGGCAGCCACGAACGCTAGGGAACGCGACGGGACTCTGGTTTTGGCATTGCTTGGACTGATCAGGCCGTCGACGGCGTCAATCTGCGTTGCGCTGTCACTTCCCAATCCTATACCGATCGTCGGTAGCCGCGAAGATGGTCGCTACTTATTTGCAGAACATATCCGGCGATAATGCCTATACCCGTCTTTAAGACTTATTAGCTAGGCTAATCTATATAAATATCGAAGTATAGAATTATAACGTCGACCGATTAAGCTAGCTAGCTCTATACTCCGGCGCTACGACAAATATATCTAATATAGAATAGGAGCTAGACGTCGCCTTATAATAGAAATACTTATATAGTAAAGAACGAGATAAGCTCGATATATATAGAGAAGAAATTAGACAATTAGCTAATTAGATAGAGCGAATAGGATCTATTATAAGGAAGTAAATAGCTATTAAGAACTAGGCGAAGATATAGAAATCTATTATATAAACGAGAGTTATATATTAGAAGATTATCGAAACTATAAAAGCTTAGTATATTTTTAAGGAAGACGACCTAGATAATAGGTCTCTTAGTAATATATACGTATACGATATCTTCTCTCTATATATAAACGACTTAGAGATAGCTAAGACTATTATAGAATCGGAAGAACTATTATAGCTAGTAGTAGAGTTATAGCTTAAAGCTTAAGATCTTAATATATTACTATTAAAAGCAAAGTAGAATATCGAGGAAGTAAATAATAATATATATAATTAGGACTATATATTTATAAAGAATTTATATTAGAGGAACGTCTATAACTAGTAATTAAAATAATTAACTAGAATATTATAATAATTAAGTAGAGTAGTATAGATAGCGCTACTAAGTTATAAATTTATTTACTATTTAAGCTATAGATATATAGCGTACTTAGAGATACTTAAGGATTTATTAGTATAGTATATATCTAAGTACTAATAAAGAAAAGCGAATTTTCGCCTAAATAATCGGCTATACTCTTTATAGTATATAAGGTCTTAATCTATAANTATTCTAAGATACGATTATCTACTATATTACTTTCTACTAAATCGGAGCTTAGAGTTCCTCTTTAGGCTAGAATATAGAAACTTAAGTAAGATCGAAGGACTTATATTTACTCTATAAGACTTTACTAGTAAAGAATTTTTAGATTCTATACTACTACTTATAATATTAAGCTAGTTATCGAGTATATATCGTACGCGTACTATATTCTATAAGAAAATTTAGCTATTAGCTATAGCTTCTAAGTCGTTAGTAATCTACTATAATAACGACTATAAACTTATTATAGATCTCTATATAGTAATAGTACTAAATAGTAATATAGTAGTAGTATATAGTCGATACGATAATAAGATATAGGTACCTATTAATACTATATTATTAAGGCTTATATTTAAGAAAGAAGAACGAGAAACTATTAAATATAAGAAATATTAGAAGTTTAGTAATACTAATAAGGCGATAGGCTTCTTTTAAGAGTACTTCTTTTAGGAGGTAAATAGATTAGTAAAAGGCTTCTTATAGCGATTAGAATAGTAGAAAGTAGACGAGTAGTAGAGTATAGAGATAGTAAAGAAATAGAGATAGATTTCTATCGATATTAATTTAGTATAATATAGACGTATATAGTTCGTATTTTAAGAAGGAGTATATAACTAGCGGTTTATTTATAGTACAAATATCGAAAAGCTAGCAGCTTGCGTAAACGTCGATAACTTAACTCTTTAGTAGCTATTCCTAGTATGTCCTAATCGCCGACAACTGTCGTTAACGGCAACATCTAAACTTCGCAGTTGTCGTAGAGCTTTCGAAATAGGCGACATTTTTCCCTATCGTCGATAGCCTAGAAGCTAGGTAGTTAGTGCTATTTATTCCTAATCGTCGATAACCCGCAAGCTAGGTAGTCGCTGCGCATTCCTAATCGTCGATAACCTACAAGTTAAGTAGTCGGTGCTCATTCCTAATCGTCGATAACCGAGAAGCTGGTGGTCGGTGCTGCCTACTCCTGTTCGTCGATAACTGCCTGTTCGTCGATGACTGCCTGATCATCGATGACTGCCTGATCATCGATAACTGCCTGTTCGTCGTTAACTGCCTGTTCGTCGATAACTGCCTGATCGTCGATGATTGCCTGATCGTCGATAACTGCCTGTTCGTCGATGACTGCCTGTTCGTCGACAACTGCCTGATCGTCGATAACTGCCTGATCGTCGATGACCGAGAATCCGCAGAAGTCAACACCAACCTCTCCTGATCGTCGATGTCTTTCCTGGACGTCGATGTCTTTCCTAATCGTCGCTGTCTTTCCTGATCGTCGGTATCTGTCTTGACCGTAGATAATTCTGTTGATTACAGTTGGCATTGCCTAGTCTTCGACAATGCAGATCGCGAGAAGTCAACGCTGTCGCCTCCTGATCCTCGATAATGGTTTCTGGGCCCTTATAGTCTATGCAATATCTGGTAGCCCTCCTGATCGTCGGTAGCTTCTCGAATTCGCCTTGCTAATCGTCGATAATTCGGATCTCAGGTAGTTAAATCACCCTTCATGATACCGTCGGCCCAGATGCAGAGTGTTTCACGCTTCTTAGTGAGTTGTTCATTGTTCATTGTCGGTGTACACTTATGCGATAAAGCCATCTAGAATAAAAATTGAATTCGCTGTCAAACGTGCTTGGACGTACGAATTTGTAAATTCGTGATCTATCAAAGTGCTGCTGCTAATAGCTCAAGGTCCGACCTTCACAGCTGTGAACGGCAATGAAGATGCAACGGTCTGCCAGTGGAACGAGCTGGCTCCGTCCGCCGTCCATGTCGGAAACATGCCGCATTGAGTACCATCCAACCTCGCATTTTCTGCTCGCATTCGTAGATGTGCCCTTGCGACCCTCCACTCAGACATTAGGTGGCAAGGCGGGCATGTCTTTCCAGCTCACATTCGCCCCACCTGGGGTGTCCTTGAGCTTCGTCTGCCTCAATTCCTCGCATACCATCAGACAGCCGTCGAAGAGTGGTTGACTGTTGTCACGAGCAACGACGAATGTGTAGATGGCTTCGCAAAGAGCAACAAATTTTCTCTCCGCATGAGCTCGCCAGATGCGTTCAGTCTGTGGTGCATTATCTCGGTACAGATATGTGAGCGGAACGACTTTGAAGTCGGGAAAGATGGCAGTCAATATCGGTCCTGGGTCCTGTAGGAGAGACTAGTGTTCGTTAGCGCGTTGTTCCACAGTAGCGGCAGCGGGGAGAATACCTCAAGGAAGACTTTCTTGCGCTGTGATGATGTGCTGGAGAGCCAGCGACTCTTGTCATCCTCGCCTTTGAGATTGGCGAGCTTCCTCACGGCTGGCAATGCTGTATGGTACGTGTTCCTCAAGATGGTGTCTTCATAGTCTTCTAGCCTCTTCCTCGTCTCAGCCACTGAGGCACCTGGAAACCAATTGGTAATGATCTCGTCTATCACCGAGGCATCGTTCTTGATGGTGCCGTTGGCCCGTATGCAGAGGGTTTGATACCCTTTGGCGAATTCTTCGTTCTCGTTGTTCGTCATCGGTTTCGAACGGCTGTGCTGAACGGTTGTGGCCTGGTTCGCCATGATAGCTGGTTGATTGGTCAACGCGGAAGAGTTCTTCTCGAGTTTGGGAGCGTCGATGAGCACACCTGGAAAGGTCGAGGCGGCCTTCGACAAAGAAGATGAAGTATTGCGCCGGGTTTGTCGCTTGTCGTTGAAGTCTTTGCGTTTGCTTGGTTGTAGTCAGAGCGTCGAATGTTTCAGAAGCCAGAGATGTTGGCTCAAAGAAAGAGCTGGTGCGTTCTACATTTGCTGGAAACCTCACTTGTATTGACATCACAAACAGAACTCGAGACAATCGCGCTTCCAAAAGTACTTAAAACTCGCTCACTCTTGACATCCACATTTTCGTCTACACTGGGAATCGCACGACGAACGAGAAACGCGACAACACTCACGACGAACCGAACACCGTCAAGCCCACCGGCAAGCGAACTCAGATCAACAACGAGAACATGAGCACTTGCCCTAAAAGCTCGAACACCATCAGAACCATGCCCGCCACCGCCGAAAACCCTTCCACCGATAGCGCGCGGCTTCTGAAGGAACTGGAGGAGAAAGAGTCCGAACTGACTGCCATGAAGAACGAGATTACTCGCCTGCGAGAGGCTGTGGGACGACAAAATGAGGCCATCGAGCTCTTCAAAGTCCAACAGCAAGTGTACAACTCAGACATCAGCCCCGACTCGAACCTCAAACGAACCGAGACCGTCCTACGCGAAGAGTGGCTGATGAGAGACAAAGCGGACGAGGACATCAACGAATCACTCGGAGGAGCCATGGTGATTGCATCCGTCATTGCGGTCTTGCTGTTCTGCTTGGAGACGCTTCTCCCAGAGAAACCGTCCGAAGCGAAAGATGTCAAGGTCGTGACTGCCCGCAGGTTTGCGCTGAAAGGTATCGCTCACAACGAGAAGCTTCGCGAGGTGGTCAACAGCTTCTATCGAGAACTCAATAAGTTTGGTGGCAAGCAAGTTTGCGAGCCAAATCTCGAACGGATCTCGCTGGAGTCGGTCGGATGGGAGAGCGGGCACGGGGTTCAAAAGAAGCCAGTGCCACTTGCGACAGAGAGCATTGATCCAAAGGGACTTCCTTGCATGTCAGAGATTTCTAAGTCTATGGGTGCCGTGGAGCTGAAGGAGAAGGGATACCGCAAGCAGGGCCGCGAGTAGGCGAGTCCCTACAGAGAGTCGGGCGGTGGATCGGAGGCAGCACACCGGTCCCGAAGGCTCGAGATACGATTGCATGCAGAGAACACGACCAGGCTGAAGATGGGCGTTTGACGAGCATGTGCTCGCCAGAAGAGATAATGCGGTGAAGTATCATAGAAAGAGAGATCCATAGCTCACTTGTAGCTCCAGGGCAGAATTGAATCATGTTGAGCACAATTGACCCTCCAGCGAAAGTGCTGCCCGTGTTGAGTATCAGTCGTATTTGCCAGGCAATGCAAATCTCCCACAAGACTTCAGCTCCTTTGCACTTTTGATCAGCTTTCTACGTCGCATCGCTGCGCAACTCGCGGGCGCTCCTGCCTTGTTGGAGTGCAAAGGAAGTTGCCGCAGGCTGCTATTAGCCTTTCGTGGATTCGTTCAATCTCGGAGCTCCTAGGGCATGTGAAGCAGCTTCCACTCAAAGCAGCTTCAAATGTCGTTTGTCACTCCTGCACCCGCACAACTCGACATTCCTTCTTGCATGGCTTCAGAGTAGCGATCAACAATCTCACTCGACCCACCAACTGTCGCTTATCCCTTCGAGACCACCGTCACCGCGCGAGGGATTGAACACTCGACTAAACTCCTCTCGAGCTCGACCTTTCGTTACGTCAATAGCACCGGCGCTCCTGAACACCCATAGACTGCTGTCTATACAACTTCCAGGATCAGCTGCAACATACCAAGACGGACATCCCACGAGCACGCCCAAGACTTCTGCGACACAATTGACGACACCAGTGCGATCTACAAAAAGCCACAAAACATGCTGACTTGAGACTTGCTTCTTTTTTTTCTTCTTTGTGATTGCGACGCTCAGCTTATCGGCCCTGATAGCAGTCGGGCTTGATCGCATTCCGCTTTCCTTTTTCGAAAATCTCGGGGGCCCTGGTTCTGCAGTTTCGAATGAGTTTTCTATGCACCGAGAAACTATACGCTCAAGTGCTAAGGGTTCCGCTTATGCAGCAACAAGGAAGGTCAGCGAAAATGCCCATAGTTGTGATTTGAACAAGATAACTTATGAGCTCTATGCCTTCCAATCAACATGTCCAAGCCAATCTACATCTAGCCAAGAATGGCCTTTGCATACCAAGGGGAGAACCCTGGAAATGACAGAACTGCTTGCCGAAGCGATGGCACTATCGTTGCGCAGCTTATCCACATCGACACACCACGAGGAAAATCTATTATGCTCGCTCAAGGAAGGACAGTCGGGAAAAACAACTACCCTCCCTGATACCAAAATCACGAAGGTCAGTGACGATACTCACAATGAGGCATGATTCGACTGAGCTGACTCGTGGACCTCAGGGCTGCCGTTGAATATGTCCCAAACGGTCTACATCTTCCCCATGATGCAGTCGAAGACATCCACCGCACGGTCTTCCAGACCGACGGCACGTTCATCGGATACATCGTCCACATTTCAGATCGTACGTTTGTCCTAGGAGATGATCAACGCGGCAGATTTACCAAGGTTAATGTATCTGAGGCATTGAAGGACCACATAAGCCCCAGAAATCGGGCTGGGCCACATTCTGCTGCTTTTGTTTTCTCAACATTTCGAAGGCTCTGGTTTTGCGATTTCGGATAAGTTGGGTACACACGGAGACTACTCGAATACTGAGGAATATGGAAGATGGATGATGAGAAACAGGGACATTTCTTTGCAGAATATCACGAAGAAGGCCGCATTGGGCTTTGTTTCTGCTCAGCTTTTTATGTGCACACAACTTACGCAAATGGTATGGGCGGGGGACTTTACCACTTTCTATGCTTGGATTCTTCGTGATGTGAACGCTCTGGGGCCGAGTCGGCCTGGCTAGAAAAGAGGCGGTCGCTGCCTATATGTGCCAGGCACCAGACACCGTAACTGCCGTGTAAGGTCAAGGCAATCGCAGAACGAAGAGTCTTATAGATATTGCCGTGCTCCATCCATACCCAGACAGCCAACGCGTTGATAAAGGACATCAGGAACATGATACAGCACAAGCTGAGAGTCCGAAACTGGTCACGCCTACTTCTCCCCGTCGTCAGCGCTATGAAGACGTCCAAACCTCGGCTGAATGCTTCTGTTACTGACGTGTCTCTTCTTCCTATTCATCCTCCAGGTCGTGATGAGTCAGAGGATGTGGCACTAGTCGGTGTTTGGGCTGGAGTAGAAGATGTCTCAAATGTATGGCGGTGTGGATCACGGAGAAGCATATACACCCAACGACATTGCCGCCCGTCAACAGGTCGAGGTGACAAGCGGCCGCGATGGGAAACAACAGATTGATGGGTTAGGGTTAGGG